GGGGGTCGGGGCGCCGCGCTCCCCGGTCCCGGTCCCGGCCCCGGCCCGGCCCCGCGCGCTCACCTGCCACCGGCGACGGCTTGCGCAGCACCAGCCACCTACTCTTCCACTGCGGGACAGAGGGAGCGTGAGCGGCCGCCCGCGCCCGGCCCCCCCGCGCCCGCCGCGCGCCCCGACCTTCTTGCCGTCCCGGAGCTTGACCTGGCCCTCCACCAGCGCCGCCTCGGTCATCTTCGGTCATGGTTCCGCCCGCCCGCCCGCCGCGCCTCCCCGCCGCCCGCGGCCGCCCCGGCCCAGGGTCACTTTCAAAATAGCCTCGGGAGGGCCGGGGCGGGGCCGGCGGAGGGCGGGGCGGGGCGGGGCGCCCGTGGGGGCCACCTGAGGCCCGGCGGTCCGCTGCGGGGCGCGGTCGGGGGCTCAGACCCCGCCCACCCGCGGCTGGGGCGGGGGCGCTTGTCTAACAAAAGCACAGGAACCAGCCCTGCAAGAGGGGCGTTCCGTGTCCACGTTGCCCAATTTTGAAGTGATTTCCACCAACCTGGCTTCAGCCGCTAGCGCCTGTGCCTCCCACCAGCCAGGGCTGCGGCCAGAACGCCCTGACAGCGAACTGTCCGTGGGGGTACCTGGCCAGGACACGTGTGCGGTGGTAGACGGGGGCCCACTCGCAGGTCCTGCCAGCATGGGCCCCAGTGCAGGTTGCTGCGGGGTGGTGAGTGGGCCCAGGCACTCCCTGGGCACCACATGCACAAGGTCTCCATGTCTGGTCTCCTTGGGCTAAAAGCCCTCCCACCTGGTGAGGATGGTGCAGAGGAGCTGAGCCGCTCCACAAAGGCGCCCTGGGAGCCCTCTCCACAGCCCGGGGCTCTGAGCTTCTGGTTCCCCTCCCCCACCCTGTAGACCCAGTCCAGCTGCCCCCAGTTCTTCCGGAGCCCTCGTGATTTGGGGCACCTGGCAGGTCTAACGCCTTGGACGTCAACCCCCATCTCTAAGACGGCGTCCAACCCCCACGCCTCAGGAGCACCCGGCGGCATAAGGGGTCAGCGCAGAGGGGCAGCACCACAGAAAAGCTGGAAAAGGCAATGGACTTGACTCCAGCTCCTGTCAGGCAGGAAGACAGGTATGAGCGGGGGTGGAAAGAGAAGGCCAAGCTGCTCCTGGCTTTTTGAGCTTTAACTGATTAACTCACTAGCTCTGGGTCTTTTTTAGTGGGCTTTCCTGGCCTTACTCTCTTTCCACCCTGCTCCTATAGAAACAATACTTTTCTCTTTAAAGGCACCCTCATTTTTATTAGAGGTAACCATATTAAGAAAGTAAGTTTAGCTTTAGAACACTTGGCTTGATTATTTGCATTAAGTGCAGCAGTCCCACCTTAGAGGCTTGGATTCTGGCGGGAGAGGAGAGAAGGGAGGAACACGGCCTGTTGACACGAACCGCACAGGCAGGATGGCAGATGTGGACAGGACACGTGGGTATTCACCTTCGCAAGGCCCTTCGGACTGGGTCGTGCCTCTCACTGAGGACCGTGCACCGGGGTGAGTCCCATGCACCAGCACTGACCAGCATTGGCTGAGCCTGAGCGCGCCAGTTCAGTCGCCACCATGCTGGGTGCAGAGGGCCAGGTCCACCCCCTCCCCTGCCCCTTCCCCCTGTCCCTGGGGATCTGAGAGTAGGTCCCTGATCGGCCACAAGCTTGATTCTGATGCAGAAGTGATGTCTTGCTGAGCAGGGTCAGGCCAGGCCCAGAAAGCAGCTCTGTGTCTCCTGTGTCCCCTGCCCCACCCCCGCGTCACCTGTGCACCCACCAGTCGCCTCTCACAGAGCAGTTGCCCAGCCACAGAGCTGCATTCAAGCTCCCCACACATCTCAGGCCCCCAGGGGCTGGCCTGGGACAGCCTGTGTGGAGCTGGGTGGTGGCTGGGGGCTGTGGCCGCGGATACATCCGCTGTTCTGGGTGCCTGGCACTTGATTGCCCCTGCAGGGAGGGGCAGGGCCCTGCTGCATTCCTGAGTACTGGCCCTGACCCAGGCTTCTGCCACGCCTGGCAGCTGCACCTGCTCCCCCACTGGCCCCCGGAAACGCGGCCACAGCGGAACAGACAGCTCCCTGCCCCCTCAGCCAGCCTTCGAAAGGCCTGGCACCCAGCTTCCAGCCTGGCTCGCACTCCCAGTCCCTGACCTCTCTGCTTCTCAGGTCCTGCTGCTGACTGAATGTGGGTCCCCCAAATTCACGTGCGGAAGCCCAGCCCCCAGTGGGATGGTATCAGGAGGTGGGCCTTTCGCAGATGATTAAGACACACCCCTGACAGGTTTACAGGTGGTCCCCAGCTTACGATGGTTCCACTTACAAGTTCTTGATTTTCCAGTGGTGCAAAAGCAGTGCATGTTCAGTAGCAACCATACTTTGTACACTTGTTTACCTGTCCCAGCAGCCCTCAGTTAGGTGAACCACACACAGGAGCCAGTGGGTGTGGGGGGCAGTGATAACCACCCCATCCAGACCCAGCCATGAGACACCTCACCACTCTCCATGCTCTGTTCATTCAGCGTGTGGTGAGACGGAGGGAACTGCATTCCCCAAATTCTTATGTTGAAGCCCTAACCCCAGTGTGACTGCATTTGGAGATGGTAGTTAAGGAGATAATTAAAGTTAAATGAAGTCACAAGGGTGGGGCCCTAACCCTATAGGACTGTGGTTCTACTAGTAGAGGGAGAAACACCCGAGATCTTGTCTGCGCACACACAGAGAGGCCATGTGAGGACACAGCAGGAAGACGGCCGTCTGCAAGCCTGGAAGAGAAGCCTCCCCAAAACCAACCTGCCAGGTCTTGATCTTGGACTGCAGTCCCCAGAACTGTGAGAACACAGATGTCTGTCATCTAAGCCCCCTGGTCTGTGGTGTTCTGTCCAGGCAGCCCAAGCTGACTAGTACAGAAAGTGTGGTGAATTGTTTAAAACATGCACATATTCTCCTTCAGCGCCCACGCCCTTTGAGATATGACCATACATCCGATCCCAGGAAGAGATGACTCTGTCTTTCTGCCCCCAGAATCTGGACTGCTTCAACAAATGCAACGCAGTGGAAATGCTCACTAGCGCTCGTTCTTCGACAGCCCGGCCGCCGCCGTGTGAACAAGTCCAGGCTAGCCCACCTCTGACGACAAGCACGAGGCCCAGTCACCCCACGGCCCCAGGCACCAGCCAGGCAGCACCCGTTTGCAGCGTGGCCTAAGACCCACAGATGCCTCCAGGCATGTGAAGGAGCCGGCCTGGCCCGGAAGAACCCCCTGCTGGGGCCCAGCCCAGAACTGTGGGCTCAACACACAGCTGTTGGTTTATGTCCCTGAGTTCGGAGGTCCTGTGCCACCAAAAAAGCATCTGGTGCTGGACTCCAGGCCTCACGGGACATTGGAAGCTCTAGACAGAAGGATCCCAGTCCCATAGGCAGGGCACCAGGACACAGGCAAGCTGACAAGAAGTGCGATGTGGCCAAGCAGGAGAGGAGGGAGGAAGCCCACACCTGCACATACCAGGGGACACTGAGCCCCCCAAAGGCAAACACATCACAGAGCCACCAGAGGAAGAAGTTGTTTATAAAAACACAAGTAGATTTAAAGCAGATTCCTCAGCAGCAGCAGCAGCGATGGAGCCAGAACAGTGGGAGGCCTTCCAGGGCTGGCAGAGAACAACCCAGCACCTGAGACCAGCAACAGGAGAACATGGGAACGAGCTGCATTCAGTGTGAGACGCAGGCAGATGACCTCGTGCAAGTGTGACTTCTGGGCCTGGCTCAGGAAGAAATGGAATTCTCAACAAGTCCTCTAACTATTAATACAGTCAGTAGTTAAAAATCCATCTACAAAGAAAACACCGGGCCCAGGGAATCTTATAGGGCTTTCTACTAACCTTTCAAAGAAGAGTTTCATACAATAAAATAGAGAACTTTTATATAAAGGTCCAGCTTTATACAAAGTCATCCAGTGAAAAATACAAGGAGGGGTGATCTTGAGCTCATTCTTCGAGGTCAGTATGGCCTTGATGACAGCCATTCAGAGGATAAGAAGGGGAAATTATAGGCCGGAAACATAAATGTGAAATCCTAAACAAAATATAAGTAAATCCCAAAGAGCTTGTAAACGGTAACGCAGCATGTACCGGCCAGGGTTCCAGCAGGCCGACCGCACAGGAGGACAAGTCCGGCACGTGTACTTACAAAGGTGTGGGCCGGGAGGGGACGCCAGGAATCAGGCGGCAGCCCCGGGCTAGTCAGAGGGGAGGCACGGATAACCACCTCTAGACTGGAGAGGCAGTCACTCTTCACCTAGGGAGAGGCGGTGACCTTCAGTTAAGGGGTCTGGGTTTATTCGCTTGCAAAGCACCATGAACTGGGGGCTCAAACAACAGAAATTGGTTGTCTCACAGCTCTGGAGACCAGAAGCCCAAGAGCCAGATGTTGGCAAGGCTGGTTCCCTCCAAGGCCCAGGGAGGACCTGCCTCAGTCTCCATCCTTGGCTCGTGGGTGGCAGTCATCCCATGGTGGCACTTCATGTTGTCCTCCTCCTGTGTATCCAAATTTCCCCCCTCACAGGGACACGGTCACAGCGGGTCAGGACCCATGCCGATGCCCCCACCCCAACTTGATCACCACCATAGAGACCCTGTCTCCAACGAGGTCACATTCTGAGGTCCTGGGGTCAGGACTCCAGCACAGGGATTTTAGGAGAATGCAATTCCACCTGTTAAGCAGAAAGATCTGGAAAGCTGATATCCTGGAGAGGAACCGACCAATTTCTTGTATTAAGTTAATTTTGCAGAATTACCTAGAAGACTCATAGAAGAGACATAGTGTCTCTCACTGGAGATAAGCATTTTTGAGACCACTTTGCAAGTCTATACCCTCTGGCCCTTTGTCACATTCCTGAAAAATCCTTAAGAGACAGAAACCCCAACCTTTGGGCGCACCTCTCTCCCCCGAGGACACCCGCACTTTCCCTCTCTTCAGGCGCGTAACTTGAGGTAAAGCCTTCTCGCCGCTCGGCTTGCGTTTTGTCTCTGCTCTGCCAGCGGTAAACATCTTCGTGAACTTCGTTATTTCATTCCGTCTTCCAGACCTGAGCACAGCTCTTCACCCTTGGCCCCGCTTCAGCTTCCTTGCGCTCTGCTGCCTGCAGGCAGCTGCCGTTCCCTGACGCTCTCTCGGATGAATTCCTTCCCTGCCGACACTTGACTGCTCAAGAATTCTTCCTCCTTCAGAGTCAGAGCCCTCCCCCGTCCACGATGAGGTTCCACCCGGTGTGCAGACCTCGCCA